AAAGAAATCAATGAACAGAGTGGAGTATATACTAGAATTTAGCACATGATAAATACGGCTGTTCATACTAGTATGGTAAGGAACGATTATTAAATAAATGGTCTTGGTCAACTGACTGTCCCTAATCTGAAAAGATACATGAAAAATATTCTGGCTGGATTAAATATTTAGATACAAAGATAAAGATAACAAGTAGCAGAAAAAATTTATAAAAATATAACACTCTTTAACGTTGGAGTGAGGAACACCTTTCTAAACATGATATCAGACCACCAGAAACCATAAAAAGGACTGACAGATTTGACTACATTTTTTTAAACATAAAATTCTATATGGTAAAAAGTGCTAATAAAACACTAAAAACCAATAACAAATTGCACAGTACATGATAGGCAAAAGTATAATCATACATACACAAATATACGTCTACATGTATATATACACCGCATATATACGATATATATATGTATATGTATCAAGGTGTACATATCAACATAAAGTTCTCACAAGCCAAAAACAAAAAGATAATCACCCCAGAAGAAAAATATGCAAAAGACAAAAATAGGCTTTTTATAAATGAGAAATAACAAACGTCAAGTATTATAAGATACCCTACACTTCACAGACGATAAAAGAAATCCAACTTAAAGTAAGACAATTTTTTACAGATCATAAATCACATTGGCAAAATGCTGACAACGCCTGCATTGGTGAGGGTTTGGAGAAGGGGCATTTCTATGTGCTATTGGTAGAGACTGGGTACAGCCGTATCAGACGGCAAGCTTTATCAATATTTAAAATGTGTACTACATCATAATTTTATAATTAAAATGTCATAAAAAGACATTTCCATTTTGATAATTAAAAACAAAAGGAAAGGAAGAAAGAAGCTCAGTTTTGTGTTGAGTTCATCCATCCTGTGCCATGTTCTGAACCATCAACTTGCGCCTTTCTCAACACCCTTTCTGGCCTCTGTGCTCCCCCAGATTCTCCTCTAACTCTCTGACCAGCCCCTGCAGTAAACCTGTCTGCCACCTACTCTTTCCTTCCCTCTCTCAATAGCTATATTCTTAAGGACTGTGCTTTTAGGCCCACTATTCCTCTCCCTCAACTCCCAGGTTTTATACCAAGTTCACTTTTGTAATTCCAGCTACCAGCCATATGCGGGCTACCTCTGTACGCATTCACATCCATGTTTTCAAGTCTTCTCATGTTTCAGCAACATTTTGCAGCTGCCAAATTGCCAGCACCGTGTTGAGAAAAAGCCAGAAAAAAAATTTAAAGCATCCCAGGGCACTCAATAGTTCCACTCCTTGTTAGTGTTTTTTGTTCAGTCCTAGGCTCTACCAACTAAGAAAGCTGTGGAAGGACTTGAAGAGAGCTTACTAGATAGCCAAGAAGACAGTTTGAAGGCTGGGGAATTTATGGGTAAAGCAGAAATTTCCTTTTCCTGAAAAAGGCAAAGCTGATAAGATATAAGATGCTTCTGAGTATCATATGAAAAACTGTACCAAAATTGACATCACTTTTCTTCATTTCCAGCTGGGGGCTAGGGGGTTGTTATTAGTCTAAGCTTTTGGCTACATTGAGCAGTCCCCACTTGACCCACGATGCATTCCTAAAAAGGACCCAGAAAGAAAGAGCAGACCATTTCCCTCCATTCACTGTTGTGGTTGTAACCATCACTCCAGCTTTGAAGCCTGACATTATCCTTATCACCACTATCTCGGTGAGGGGAAATGCTGACTAAATTACATTCCACAGGATATATAAATGGCAAATTTTATGTTATATATATTTTACCACAATTAAAAAATGCTTTACCAAAACCAAAATGTATGAAAACTGTTGGAAACATACAAATGGGAAGATTACTAAGATAAAGAGAACCATGGAAGGCATGTGTGTGGACTGGCAATATGGAAAAGTGCTGAAAGGACCACACTTCTGAGATAAGGAACAGTTTCCTCATACTGAGAGCCACCACTGAGAGCCACCATGGCCACAGAGAATGGCAGGATGGCTCTCTTTCTCTGAAGGCCAAACACCAGTTCAGAGTCTCAGAAAGTAGAAAAGGTAATAAAAACAACTATTTACTGAGCCTCTACTTTGGGCCAGGCATTGTGCTCAGTACTTGTACATATGCTCTGTCATCTAACCCTCCACAGCAGACCCCAGGAAGGGTGCTGTTATTCCTGTTTCACTGGTGTAGAAATGAGGGCTTTGAGAGGCACAAGTTTACCAAGATCACAATGCCAATATTAGATGAAACCAGGATTTGAGAAGAGCTCTAACTCTGCAGCCCATGATTTTCCTACTACCCGATGCTGATTTACATGCAGTTCAACCTAGACTCAAGAGAGAGGGCTGGGCAATCTCACAATTCACAGAGCATCTCTTCTTTAGTGAATATATTAAATGAAATCTTTCATCAATATACAACACTTGCATCCTTCAGAATTAACCTCGAAATTCAGTTTCCTGAAGAAAAAACAGAAAGTAGACTTTGCAAAGAGTACAGAACCATTTACCACTCCACCAGTACAGATACACATTTTAAAAATACTTGGATAAAAAGCACCAATGAATATATGTACATATTAATATTGAATCAGTCTCTCTTCATTACCTGGTCAGTGCCTTGACCCCAAACCTGTGCTAACATTTATAGAGTACCTACTGCATATAAGGTCATAACTTGAGAACTGCACGAGAATACTGAAAGATTAGAATCCATACTCCTTGCTTCCAAGGGCTTGTAATTTTAGTATGAGAGGCAAGACAAACACGCAAAGGACACTGAAGAACAAGGGTGACATACAAATGTGCAAATTAACTAACACAATGCAAAGTGAACACTTACGTGCTAAGGAAATAAAGAATTTATATGTGCCCAGTGAAGTCCCTGAAAGAAGCGTATTTAGAACATTGTTTAGGAAGTCAATAAATGATTGTGAAGATAAGAAACACCAAGCATGAAACATCCTTGGATAATCAACAGGGACTTATTCTTAAGTTCATTTTAAAATACTTCCAAAATTCCAAACTATTACAAAAGGCAGAGTTTATGAAGGAATGTAGTAACATAGTAAGTTAAAGTGGTTATAAATATTAAAATGTTTTCTCACTAAAATGCATATCAAGACTCCTTCCTTTTCTTGTTATCACTGTCTCTAACATCACCTTTGCTCAGTTTTTCTCAACCAGCGTGGGAGCTGGCTATACCAAGACAAAAACTAGAATCATGAAAACAGCCAGGCTCTACAACACATAAAAGCAACATCAACAAAGGCAAGGCCACATAGGAGAGACAAAATTAGGAAAAGGGAGTATAAATAATACCCATTAATAAATGAGAGGAATTATATTTTCTAAAAGCCAGAGATCACGACTGAGGGTACATGTCTCCCTCCACAGAGTAGGAGTTTTCAGGTGGGTAAAGCACACAGCCTCTGTCATAGCTGGTATTACAGTCACGATGATTTGTTCTGGGAGTCGTGCTCCTAGTGTTTCAAATTAAATACAAACACACAGTCCTTTGGCCCACGTCAGACACTTCGGTTGTTATGCTGCTTATCTTTTAATCTGATACAGCCATAATAATGTCAGTCGATGCAGACTCAATCCCCTCCTCTACCTCGGGGCCCCTCTGTCACTCTCAAAGTATCCCTAGGCAGTTCTGAGATACAGAATCTTCACTCAATTTCTTGTCCCTCTCATTTTAATCCATTCAAAACTCCTCTGATAAAAGAGCAACTGCTAGACCTGAGACACTTTAGTCCCTCTTTGGGGAAATGAAATTGATTTTCTTCATTTCCACACAAGAGTATCCTTGGGTAACAATATTGTGTCCAGTCATACCCATAATAAAAAAAATGTAGGCGACATTCTTTACTGTACCAGAGGCTGAAAGGTTTTGTGGAGTTCCTGTGGTACAAGTAAGAATTCAGCCTGATGCTGTCAGATCATGCGTTTAATAAATATAAGGGTGCCTTCTGACCGAGAGAGTAAGTGCTGTGGGGCATCCCCATCTGCTCCAACTCAGCCACACAGGGATGTCAGCTGGGGTCACGAGTACGGGTGTGGAGCGGAGTGGGTAAGGGGCCAGCTCCACGTGCTCCCTGGCTTACACCCACCATATCCCTTCTTGATACACCTAATTAAACGTACCAATCACTTTCTGCCTTCAATCTCTTGAGTTTAGGGTAAAGAATATCTGAGGGAAATTTCCAAGGGGAAAATCACAATAAAAAAAACACAACAGAATTTCAGGGGCCTTTAACCACCTTTCCCAACTCCCAAATTCATTATTCATACTGGTTTTGCAGAATTTCAGAAAGAAAGCTTAAAAGATGGCTTACATCTAAAGTAAGAATATGAAATGTTAGAATAGCTTATCAGTACTTTTTAAAAAACAAACTTACATGGAGCTAAAATACATAATGACAATAAAAGTTAAGGTGCCCTGGTTGAAGGGAAGGTGTGAGCCTGGAGCCCCACCAGCTCAGCCTCCCTTGCCCCAAACCCAACCCCACTAGAAACACCTGCTCTTTCAAACTCCACTGATATCCACTGACCTAGAAAAAGAACATGCACAATGGCATCCAAAAATCTCCTCCTGGCCCTGAGGACTGCCAGGGAAGCCTCCAGAAATATCTCTCATGGTTTTTGTGAAAAGAACGCACCCCCTAACAATAACTCTGCTTTCAAGGTATAGCATGGAATTTAAAAAGCATTTCCACTTCTCAGTGTGTCGTCCCTTCTTATTCATTTACATGCCTTTACATAAATATGGTACAAAACAGTTCCACAGTACACTCTAAATATTAAGATGCTTAATTTTCCATAGTATCCCTAAGTTTTTTAGTGGAGTCGCATTTAGTAACTGATATCCCCCTGGAAAACTTTTCCTCTATGAGACAGAAAAATGAAATCTGTTTCTCAACATCCAGATCTCTTTAAACAAACATCAAAATCATTTATAAGCCATGAGAACTAACCTGCAGACACGGGCTGGAAAATACAGCTTTTGCCAAGAACGACACAGATATTGCGAATGATCAATCACTCTGATCCAATCAAGTTCATCCATTGAGACTTCAATGAAGTATGAATAAGACCTATGAATCAAAAGGAAAAAGGCAGAAAAAAGTATCATATTAAAATAACAATACAAAGCTATATTTTTTTAGCAGCTTTTTTTTTTGGCTGCGTTGGGTCTTCATTGCTGTGCTTGGCCTTTCTCTAGTTGTGGCAAGCAGGGGCTACTCTTCTTTGCGGTGCGCGGGCTTCTCATTGTGGTGGATTCTCTTGTTGTGGAGCATGGGCTCTAGGCGTGCGGGCTTCAGTAGCTGTGGCTCGCGGGCTCTAGAGTGCAGGCTCAGTAGTTGTGACACAGGCTTAGTTGTTCCGCACCATGTAGGATCTTCCCAGACAAGGGCACGAACCCATGTCCCCTGCATTGGCAGGAGGATTCTTAACCAGTGCCGTCACCAGGGAAGCCCCCCGAAGTTATATTTTAATAAAATGTTAAAAGGGGGCTTCCCTGGTAGCGCAGTGGTTGAGAGTCCGCCTGCCGATGCAGGGGACACGGGTTCGTGCCCCGGTACGGGAAGATCCCACGTGCCGCGGAGTGGCTGGGCCCGTGAGCCATGGCCGCTGAGCCTGCGCGTCCGGAGCCTGTGCTCCGCAACGGGCGAGACCACAGCAGTGAGAGGCCTGTGTACCGCAAAAAAAAAAAAAAAAAAAAATGTTAAAAGTTACAAAAAATACACTATTCATGAATTACAGTTTCTGCATAATGACCAAATTCTGATGATGACGAAATGTGTATAGATCCCCCTAACATAGCATTCGCCACAATGTATTGAAATTATCTCTTTGCATGTCTGTCTGCCTTATAAGGTCTCAAGCTGGTTAAGAACACGGACCATGCCATATTTATCTGCATATATCCAGGGTCTAGCACGGTGCTTGTCACATATCAGGCATATAAGATATAACAGGACCAGGATGCCTTGCATATACCGTATTAACAGGTTAATAAAGCCATGACAGAGAGAGGACAGAAAACAGAGAAGTGTGCCTTCTCCCTCTACCTTCACTGGCCTGAGCACCCAGCCCTCCTGTCTCAGGAGGGAAGCCAACTCAGAACGGTTCCTCACAGAAGCCAGCTTATCTCCTGCTTCCTCCCAGTCTCCTACCATCCCACACACAGTTACAGCCTGCAGAAAAATAAATGACATGGGTGAAGAGATCGTATGTATTCCTTTTTGGTACAACTTAAAATTTGGCAGCTAATAATCTAGCAGTAATGAAAACAGCCTATCATCCTCCCCTGGTCAGCTACCCTGGACCATTACATGCTGGTTCCATACTGAACAAATCTATATTCCCCTGTCATAAGCCAAATTTAAATTTGAGATGCAGTTATTACTTGTACTGTAATATCAACAGGAACAATCTCAGAAGATTTAGGTGACCATAAATGTCAGCCTGCAACCAACAGTTGTGACCAGAAAAGGTCAGCTTATTTTGTGTCATCCCCTCATTTTCTGCTGTCCCCTCAATTCCATTCATTTTATTGCTCAGTCTCAAACTGGTTATAACCTTTTATTGAATCTCTCTGGGTTATCAGCAATGCAGGATATAATTTTACAACACATGTGAGAATCTTTTTGGCTTAAGATTCTGAATTTTTCACCTTTGCTTAGAATGATAACTTCTGTGAGAAAGGAACTAGTACATGGTAAAGTTAAGTCCCCCGTGAATGAAACACACATACTAAAACAAACTGGGGCTTCCCTAGTGGCGCAGTGGTTAAGAATCCGCCTGCCAATGCAGGGGACATGGGTTCAAGCCTGGTCCGGGAAGATCCCACATGCCGCAGAGCAACGAAGCCTGTGCGCCACAACTACTGAGCCTGTGCTCTAGAGCCCGTGAGCCACAACTACGGAAGCCCACGTGCCTAGAGCCCATGCTCCACAACAAGACAAGCCACCACAATGAGAAGCCGGCGCACCACAACAAAGAGTAGCCACAACTAGAGAAAGCCCGTGCGCAGCAACGAAGATCCAACACAGCCAAAAATAAATAAATAAAATTAATTAAAATAAATAAAAATAAAACAAAGTGGCCTATAAATATTTAACATCCTGGAAATGATGATAAGTACTTTCAGTTTCAAATGTACTAACCTTTTCTTTATTATTTTTATACTACTTGCATTATGAACTAAATGAGTTAATATATGTAAACCTTTTAGAACAGTGCCTACTACTATTATTAATCAGAGACTCTTGTACACAATATGTGAAATTTGCTCCATTTTGCCAACATATTATATCCAACGATACATATCAGGAAACATATTCTTAATTAAGAAGAATGAGATAACCTGGAGATAACCTCCAATACCTACACACATGGGAAATGCTGACTCTCACTTCATAAAGCTTCCCTCACACTTGGCTCAAATGGCCTGAAAGGCCAGGGTGGTGGTCGGTGGTGCTAACGAGAGAAATGAACTAAACAGCAAGATCTGCAGGGTCTCATCACCCTTACTATTAAGCCCTTCATGCCCAGACTCAAAGAGGCATAAGTAGGGCCTAGGAGACTGTACACCAGAGAGAGACTGGGTGTACAGGTTTAGGTTAATGACGAGCAGCAATGAGGGAGACTGTTCAGTTCTTGGTCATCCTACTGCTCTGGTACTTCTGCCATGGCTGAACTCAGTGGGTGAAAACATCAGAGTGGCTAGAAAGGAAGGCAGAATCTTGAAGCCACTGTGAAACTGGTGGGTTCCTAGGTTGGAGCCCATCAAGTTTTTTTCACATATTTCTTTTGTTTTGATAATGGTATTTATTCACACTAAAAGACAATTATTTTTCTTTGTCCACAGTATAAAGTATATTTTAAAAGTTATCATAATATCCAAAAGTAAGGAATCAAGTAAATAAACAATGGTAACCCATATAGTGGAATACCAAACAACTATTAAAAGTAACATTTTACATGGATAAACGACAAGGCCCTACTATATAGCACAGGCAACTATATTCAATATCATGTAATAAACCATAATGGAAAATATGAAAAAGAATATATATGTAAAACGTATTTGTATATATATATGTACAGAACTTAAACACATTATAAGTAAACTATATTTCAAAAAAATTTTTTTAAAGTAACATTTCACAGGAATATTTTTAAAAGAGTAGAATATTCACAGTGTATTAATTAAAAAGTGAAGTTACTTTTTGTACATTTAACCTTTATTTTGTAAAACTATGTGTGGTTTTACAGGTTTCTGGTGTGTGTGTGTGTGTGTGTGTGTGTGTCTGTGTGTGTGTATGTGTGAGACTATGCATAACAAAAAAATACTGGTCAGGGACTTCCCTGGTGGTGCAGAGGGTAATAATACGCCTGCCAATGCACAGGGCAGGGGTTCGAGTCCTAGTCTGGGAAGATCCCACATGACGTGAGGCAACCAAGCCCGTGAGCCACAACTACTGAGCCTGCGCTCTAGAGCTCACAAGCCACAACTACTGAGCCCACGTGCCACAACTACTGAAGCCCGTGCAGCTAGAGCCCATGCTCCACAACAAGAGAAGCCACCGCAATGAGAAGCCCACGCACCGCAACGAAGAGTAGCTCCCGCAAGCCACAATTAGAGAAAGCCCGTAGTCAGCAATGAAGACCCAACACAGCCAAAAATAAAATTAATTAATTTTAAAAAAGTACTGGTTAGACAAATATAAAAATTAATAATAGGCAGTGAGATTACTAGCAATATTTATTTTCTTCTTTGTGCTTTTCTACATTTTCTGTTTTCCACAATAAACACATATTCATTACTTTTATAAGCAGAAAAAAGCAAAAAATGTTATTTTTTAAAGAAACGCACCCTTTAATTCTTCCCCCAAAACTAAACTTCAAGAGAAATAGCAAAGTGATGACAAAGATATAAACCAGCAAATCTCTTAAACCAAAGCAGATGACCACAAAGTTAGGCCATCTCAATCAAACATGTCAGTTTCTCTCCAAGTCATGCTAATGACTCACCGGCTATCTCGGTCCCACAGGAGTATCCGTATATGATTGATAATGGATGGCTGACCTAGCTTAATCTCGATGCCAGAACGGCAGTCATCATCAATTGGGTGCCTAGAAAATCCATGATCCAAATCATAATTTTGAGTGTCACCATCTAATAAGGCAGACTTCAGCTCCCCTTTTACCACCTGGGCTCCATATTTCATAGTTGCAATGTTTTCTTCTGGTACTACAGTTAAAAATAGAAGAAGCAAGGTTAATGGTTACTTATGAAATTTTCCATATTTTGGGAAAAAAGATAAAATTCTAGCATTTTAGTTGATGTTAGTATATGCATTTAATTTAACGAGAAAGAGGAGATATGGAGTGTCTGTGAGGATTAAGATACCACCACAGTTGAAATTTAATGACATCGTCACAGCCACAAAGTACCTGAGACTAAGACTACTAAGAAAAAGTTGTAAATACTAGAAAAAACATGTTCTAGGACAAACAAACCAGCTCTACTAAGTTAATTCTATTCGTAGCTTTAATTTAATATCTACTGGACAAAACTAGCATGTAAAATGACCTGTACCTGCCATCTGGACTGAGCACGAAGTATAAAAGCAAAGCAAACAGGTCATACATCTTATAAAACAGAAAGAGAAAGACCCCAATACAGTGGAGCTGTTGGTCATACAAGGACGTGCTGAATCAATTAGTTAAAAACCAAGAATATGTTTAAAAGAAGATATATTTTTACTTCACTTGAATATTTTTAAAAATAAAAATTCAAAAAAAAAATTCAGTCTGTCATCAAAATACTATGGGGCTTCCCTCGTGGTGCAGTGGTTGAGAGTCCGCCTGCCGATGCAGGGAACACAGGTTCGTGCCCCGGTCCGGGAGGATCCCACATGCCGCGGAGCGGCTAGGCTCGTGAGCCATGGCTGCTGAGCCTGCGCATCCGGAGCCTGTGCTCCACAATGGGAGAGGCCACAACAGTAACAGGCCCACGTATCTCAAAAAAAAAAAAAAATTAATACTATGATTATAATTAACCCCCTCCCCTCTCCAACACTAGATGTACTAAGAGTCAATTGTTCCTGGGACTCTGAAGTCCTCTATGCAAATTTTGCTTCACAGATCTAGAACCTGTCTTCCAGGTACTAACATTCTAAAACTGACACTCTCCATGGAGAGACAACAGGCGGCATAAAGTAGATGTTAAGAGCCTGAGATTCAGAGTTTAAATAATGGTGCCACCTTTAACCAGATGTATCAATTTGGGGAAGTCACTTTCTCTGAACTTCAGTTTCTCAATAGGGCAACATCTCCCAGGTGTTTTTGTTTAAGGATTAAATTAGATGATCTCTGCAAAGCACAGAGTAAGCTCTAAAAAAAAGACTGCCAGTATTATTACAAAATATGTATAAAAAGCACACATAAAACTAAGCAAGTTTACAGACTGTAAATAAATGCTGAATTCTCACAGAATATGTACATCTTGGCTGTGTGATTTGAATAAGGGAAAGTATGAGCTATAATTAGGCTCTTAGGGAAAAGGAGTAAGTAATTCATCATTGCAGATTTCTTGGCAAATGTGGGTTTAAAAACTTTTTTTCAAATGAAGACAGAGAAAGATGACTTAAAAATGAAGCTGAAAAGTGGGGGTTGGGGTGAGTTTAATTAACCTTCAAAAGACTAAGGCAACTGAGATAACCCAACCAAATGAAAACAAAACCTAGTCATGATCAACTTCTTACCACCAGAGGCCTAAGTGCTCAGTTTATAACGTTCTACGTTCTATTAGCTCATGAAAATCACACATATTCTTCATATTTATTTTTCATTTATTTAAGAAACTTTATTAATTCCTTTGACTTACTCCTCATAATAATCCTTTAAGTGTAGGACTACTATTATATCCATTTCACAGATGGGGAAGTGGGGGCAGAGAAAGGTTAAATGGACTTTGTTGCCCAAGGCCATACAGCCAGCAAGGAGCTGAGGTGCTATCAGAACACAGGCAATCTGTTTCCAGGGGCCCTGCCCTGCTACTACCTTCATAAAGGGTTTCTGATGGGAAGACCATACTTTTCCCCTCTTACTAGTCCCTTCCCTCTAAGGTTACTTAGGACCCAAAGGAAAGAAACAGTCTATTATAGCTTTTTTTTAGAAAGTTGGACATAAAATGAGAAAACCTAAGTTTGAGACTCAGGCTCTACCACTTATTATCCCTGATGAGGCCTCTTAGTCTCTATGAATCTGTTTTCTCATCTAAAAATAATAATATTTTACCCAACCCACCCACGGGGCTACTGTAAAAATTACACTATAAATAATATATTCTGAAGTACTATGGGACTTCCCTGGTGGTGCAGTATTTAAGACTCTGCGCTCCCAACGCAGGGGGCCCAGGTCTGATCCCTGGTCAGGTAACTAGATCCCACGTGCATGCCACAACTAAGGGGCCCACCTACTGCAATTAGGGAGCCGGTGAGCCGCAACTAATACCCAGCGCGACCAAATAAAAAAATAAAATAATAAAAAAATAAAGTCTACAAAGTACTCTATAAGAATTCAATTAGTCAAAAAGCATTTACTGAAGACCCATTCTGTACCAGGTACCCTGTGAGGCACTGGATATCTCTCAGTGAACCAGACAGAGATAGGCCCTGCCCTCCTGGTGCCTCCAATCTAGACATGAAGCACTTTATAAGCAAGCAAAGAAAAGCTTCAAATTTGTGATTTGTGAATCCTCAGCAGAGATGACTTGTGAACCCCCTAGTTTACAGATGAAGATACTAAAAGATACTAAAAACTACAACTGGGAAGACAGAATACTAATAGAGTCAAAGAGTTTTCAAAGTATTAACGGTTCATTGCTATTACTGTCTTTATGTGATAGATGAGACAAATTTTATTTATTTATTTATTATTTATTTATTTGTTTGTTTATGGCTGCATTGGGTCTTCACTGCTGCGCACAGGCTTTCTCTAGTTGTGGCGAGCAGGGGCTACTCTTCGCTGTGGTGTGCAGGCTTCTCATTGCGGTGGCTTCTCTTGTTGTGGAGCACGGGATCTAGGCGCATGGGTTTCAGTAGTTGTGGCACGTGGGCTCAGTAGTTGTGGCTCTCAGGCTCTAGAGCGCAGGCTCAGTAGTTGTGGCACACAGGCTTATTTGCGCCATAGAATGTGGGATCCTCCTGGACCAGGGCTCAAATCCGTGTTCCCTGCACTGGCAGGCAGATTCTAACCACTGCACCACCAGGGAAGTCCCCAAATTTTAAATTCTAGTTTAGAAGCAAGGAATAGATTCAGTCATTCATTCATTTATTTTGAAAAGTCTAGATTTAGGCACTGTGCTAAGTGCTAGGAAAACACAGGGGAAAAGACATAATTACAGTCCTCAAGAAGCTTGGTCTAAGTAGGAGTGTAGGCAAGAAAAGCAAAAATGATACTATCACAGTGGCAAGCCCCCTCAGTCTAGTTACTGGAAACTATGGGAATAGGTTCGTGGTACCATGTACCTACAGCACAGATTTAAACACACACACACACACACACACACACACACACACACACACACTCACATATAAACCAATAATATAACTTAGCAGGCCTCGCAACAGATTGACTTTTAGCCAATAAAAAATCTTGAGGATGGAAGTTGTGATGTACTACCTGTTATAAACATGAAGAAACAAGAAATTACTGTTCTCTTTCGCAAAGTCTAAAACCTGATGCACAAAACAAAATATAACTCAGCCGGAATAGAAAAAGCACTAACTTTCAAGGCAGAAATATCTCCACAGCTAAAACAAAACTAAACATTAAGGAATGGTCTGAGTACAAGTAGTTCAAATATACTAAGGAAAGAAATTAATTAAAAAGTTGATTTCCTTTCCCCAGGCATATAGACAAATGCTCATCATTAGACGTAGTTTTGTACATATATAAACCACACTCTCAAAGAGACTAAACACCACTGGTAAGTTAAAAACATCCTTTGGATCCTCTTTTTTTTTTTTTTAAGGGGAGTGGAAATCACTATAATTTGGTAAAAAGCCTCAGGATATGCAACTGTAAGAATTAAACCTTCTAGTAACCAATATTAATGAACTAAAAAAAAAAGATTTAGTATTTATGCCCCTAGATACTAATTCCCTAGTCCCAAGATAGAACCTCTCAATGTTTCATGAAAAGTCCCCAAAGACTCAGAACCTATACCCAGGGAAGAGCAAAGAAACAGATAAATCTCATCAATAATTTCAAAATAAGCAGAACTATCCTTCCAGACCATCAGCTAAGGAACAGTTCTGAAATTTTAGACCCCTTTTTCCCTAACTGTGAAGAAATCTGATTTTTTAAAAATGGCATGAATGTCTGAATAAATACTTTTTAGGATCTGAGAGGAAAGTGATATGCTTCCTTAGTTATTTCTATTATTAGTTTTACTATTCATATAATTAAAAAGGTAGAAAAACAGTCTGCTACTTAATCATTTCTCGAGTTTATAAGTTACATAAAACATTCCCAAGCATTTGTATAATCTCCTCCTTGAGCTTCCACTAAATTATTCCAAAATGAAGAATTTAACATTTATGAGCAGCATATCATTCCAGAACTGAGGGCTCCTCAACTGGTTGATTACTCCCTTTCACGGTAATTTCATGGGTCTATAGTAACCCAGGTCTGACACCTATACTGACCAGCTGATCAATTCCAAGCTACCAGTAACTACATGAAATGTCCAAAGCATCTCCTCAGTTCTGCAGCAATGTTCCAAACTTATCCTTACAACTAAACCAGTTCTGAGGCCCTATCAACACCTCGAATCAAAACTAGGGCAAGAAGGGGAAAAAAGGAGCTTATATAAGAAAGGATCCAACAATTAAGATTTACAAAGGCTAAAACTATATTACTCATCTTGTTACTTCTCCCCTCTCTACCCTCCTACCCTTTATCAAAGGCTGACCCTCAACCAGCATCACCCTCTAGCATCTCTAATCTCTTCTCCAACCTCTCCTGACCCGTTCCCTCTAGCTACCATACTATTTCTCTACTACCTTTACTCCAATTCACACATCAGATAGTCAACACATTGTATTTACTATATTTTTCAAATCCATGGCCTAATTCCCTGTTTAGTCAAGCTTCTGTCCAGACTACTAACCAACTCACCACAATTTATATCCAAAATTTTTCTCTCCATTCTCATTCTTCTTGCCCTCCCAGCATCACCAG